GCCGGTCCTGTCCTCACCCCACAGCCTCCGGGCGGCGGCCGGAAGCACTGCTGCGCGCTGCCCCGCCCCCTCCTCCCCGCCCCGGAGGCGCGACTGGGACACGCAGGAAGTGGCGCCAGTGCGGTGCGACGGACGTTGCTATGCAACCGCGGCCCAGGGGGCCCCACCCCGTAGAGAACCAGCCCTAGGTTTTGATTCTTACCAAATTAACACGTTTTCCGCCGTTAAATCTACGCAAACAAATCAGCTACGGGACGGGCGGCCACTTACGCGCATCTTTATTTAAAAAACAAGCAATAATTGACAGCGACAGCCCCGCTCGTGTCCGCACCCCCGGCTGTGAGAGAATTCGGCCTATTTCCACCCAGAAAGGCTGCAGTGTTCTGGCCGTAACTGCCGTTATAAGTATAAAAGGGAGCGGTCGGTGTCTTCTGCGTTACCAACACTAGATGGCACATGTTCCACTTTTTTAAGAAGGATGCCTTCTGGTTTATAAAGTTTACCTTGGTCAACTGACCAAATTTCCGGTGTGGAGTCTTCACCCGTACAAGCTTCTGAGAATGTTTCTATTTTGGACCAATTATGGTCTTTTTTGGTTGTAAGATCTATTAAGAAACTTCTCCAGTGAGCATTCCGGTCGTGAATCTAGGAGAAAAAAAAAAAAAAGGGGGGGAAAACAATTACATCTGAATCTTTTCTAACAGTAACTTTAATAACTGAAGATTTAATCCAGTGCAAGAAAAATAGTATCGGAGCTAACTCCGCACTACTGTGCTCAAACACAAAAGCTGAACCCTGAAGCACAAGATCAGGTCTGTTTTGCCAGCTCTGCAATGACTTCCTGGCTCTGTTGTCATGGAATGCTTCCAAAAGCAGCCAGAATTTTAGCAAACAGTAACTTAAAAACTTGTAATCATAGGAAAAAAAAAAACCCCTTATGGTCTGTCTTAGCAGTCACTTCAAGGACCTGAAGGTCTCTGGAAGCAGCTAAGCTCAGCAAGCCATTTTTCAGCACATCGCTGGAAACACGTTAAGATCATATTCATCTGCAACACAAAGACATTATAAACCATCATGTAAAAGGCTTAAAGGACTGCAGAGACTGTAGTAACGCAGAATGTGGTACTGTTCCCTTTCCACTAAAAGGAGTCGATCAGTAATAAGTATTTTAAATAACGAGTCCTTCCTCGTGCAGTTTTACAAGATCAGATTTTCCCTTTGAAGACAAGTACTGGGGAGGTGACTGGTTTGACAGCCAGTAGTGGGAGCTGCTGTGCTGTTGGATGGAGGAAAGTCCCTCCCACTTCAGAAACAGATTTTTAAAAGTCACCCTGTAGCTGGTAGATCAACCCCCAACCCTAATATTCATCACCAACGTGAACACTCATCGAGGCAAGAAGCTTCCCTCGGCAGTTAAATGGCACCACCGCAGGCTGCCTGCCACAGAGAGAGCTGAGGGGCAGCGTACCGACGCGTGTCGGCGCAACGTGGACATGTCCGTGAAGGTTCTCTCGCAAGCTCTGCACTTGTAGGGCTTCTCCCCGGTGTGAATGCGCTGGTGGCGCCGGAGAGCGCCCTGTTGGGTGAAGGTTTTCCCGCACTGCTCGCAGAAATACGGACGGGTCTCTAAAACCAAACAAAAAACCAACCAGGACGCACAGAGTTAGAGGTGGGTTCTTCTGGCTCCAATTTCAGCAGAACAAAAGTGTCATGGCCTAATTCAAGAAGCTTATTAAAGCAGTTGTGGAATAAAATATCACCATCCATGCTGGAAAGTACTTCAGACCCAAAGCACTGCTTATTTTCCCCGCCCCGAATGGTTTGTTTCGTTACCTGCATGGACGTTACTGTGCTGGGCTAGCGAGGCTCTCAGGCCAAATGTCTTCCCGCAGACCTCGCACTTGTAGGGCTTTGCCCCCATGTGGCAGCGTTTGTGGCATTTTAAGTACTCATTGGTGGCAAAATGTTTTCCGCACACATCGCATTTATAAAGGCGCTCTCCTGAGTAAAGAGAAAAAAATATGCTCTGAACTCTCTCAGCAGAATTTTATACTTCAAAGTTGGTTTTCAAATCTCTTTCCACCCCTAGGAGTTCCTTCCTGGCACTTCAAGTCTCTTTGGCGAGTTACAAAAAAAAGCGTGCACCTTCTTTAAATCCCCATCAGCAATTTCTGGCAGGAGAAACCAGGTGGAAGGAACAGAAATATTTAGTGCCTACCTGTGTGGGTCCTCTTGTGGCCAGTCAGTTTGCCTTTATCAGCAAAGCAAGCCCCACAGTCCTCACAAATATATGGCTTTTCCCCTGTATGGGACCTAAACGAAGTGAAACACAACTGAGCATTAATAAATACTGCATTCTTAAAATAATGTATTTGAAATTACGTCTGACACGCTACACTACTTTTCTAAACCAAGTGGAAAAAAGTACCTTCTCCTCATTCAGGAAATGGGAGCATTTATGACTGCAGGTGCTACACTAAAGCACTAAAATTCCCATTTAAGGTTTACCTTTTCCTCACTCTCGGGCCCTACAAAATCCACCTTTCTTTCACAAGTTGCAGCTCCGTGTATCAGCATTGGAAGGGAGAAAGCAGGGATGATGACAAGCTGCTGCTGTGCTAGATACTGGAAGTGCATCTGGACTGTCCCCAGCACAATGCCAGCAGCAGATCTCTGGGAACACTGTGGGCTGCGTTCTTGGCTTCTGCAGTTCCTCAGCTTCATGTCCCCCAGCCTGCAAACTTCAACTGGCACAATATTCTCATTTTTAAGACAAAAGGCACTAAGGAAACTCAGGCAAGCAGTGTTTCTGAATGCATACTGGACATCTGGCCTTAAACTAGCCCAAATCAGAGAAAGTCTGAGCCTTACGTTTGATCTTAGCACTGTGCTGACTTCCCTTATTCCAACCCAAACAGTATGACGTGCAAAAACATGGATAATTTTGAGTTGTCAGGCAAAATGCTGCCAACATGAGCCAGCCAGTTACCCAACACAAACCCCATGAGTCACTGTTTTATGCAGTCGAACCAAAATCTCACATGTGGCACGGCTCTGCAGCATTTCAGCTGGCAGAGATTATCTTGACATTTCGGGTGGTTTGCTGCTTCTGAATCAGTGTCCCTCACAGTTTTTTAAATCACTGTAAGAACACTTAGGAGACAGAAGTAAGCCACTGTCCCCATTGCATGGGTCAACAGCCTGTAGTAACAGGATCTCTCTCACCTCAGTTAGCCCTCCAACAGTTAACCTCCTCTTACAAGCCGTCTGCTAGGCTCCCTATTTGGAGAAAGATGGGAAATTCCACAGCATGATTCACCCTGTCCTGGGAGAGGACACATTTAACACGGAACCACCAGGGAGCAACTTATCCAGTGTTGCTCCAGTGACTACAGAGGGAGCCCAGATGAGAAGTCCAGTTTTTGTATTGCAAACAAGAACTGAAATCCCACACTAAATGACTTGCTCAGAGCGATCCAGAGTGAGCAGGGCTCAGCATCTGGGCCTCTGAGATCCTTGACTAATTCTTCAGCCCATGCTACTTTTCCTCGGTGAAGGCCATCATCATATTCTGATTCTCAAATGACTGGCTTTTGCTTACAAAGTTCAGCTAGGGCATCTTTTCAAAATCCTTACTAAAACTGGCGCAATGACAGCTGCAGGCAAAGCCTTTACATAAAAGAATTAATCACAGATACCTACAGAACAAACTATATCCCAGCATTCCCGTTATAAGGACACACAAAGAGAATGACTCAGAACTGGGAAGTCAGGAGAGGAAAAAGAAGTGCTGAAGTACAGCGGGCATGAAGGGAGCGGTAACGGGAGAAACAGTACCGGAGGCTGACCTGGTATGGATCTTAAGTTGTGACGGCTGAGCAAATTTTGAGTGACAAATGCCACATTCGTAAGGTTTTTCTCCTGTATGCGTCCGCATATGGAACACTAGTGCTGTTCGGGAGCTGAGGATCTTTCCGCAGACAGAGCAGAGAGGGCGTTTGACTCTGCCTTCGTGCTTCCGCATATAATGTGTCCTCACATCTCTCTTTCTTTTAAAGGTAGCATTGCACAGGGTGCAGGCAAACTGCCTTTCTTCAGTGTGCACACACGCTCGATGCTCCTTCCAGCTGTTGTAACTAGCAAATGACTTGCTGCAGATGTCGCACTGGTAGACTTTACCGGGCAAGCACTGATGGACATCTCTGCAGTGATCCACGTACTTTTTCCGGGAAACAAACTGCTCGTTACACTTATCACATCTTATTACATAGGCAGATTTCTTATTCACCCCACTTTTATTTACCTTCTTTATTTTAAACTCTTCGTCTAATTCACGTTCTTCACCCTCCTTCTCATTGGAGTATTCATCATCCTCATCATCCTCCTCAGTACAGACCTCCTCGTTATCTCTACTATCTTCAACTTCAGAACACCCCGCTTCGTAATCTACCTCCTCCTCGCCCTTCACGCTCATTTCACCTTCATCTTCATTCTGTTCTTCGCTCATTTTTTCACTTCTGGCTACAGCTTCTTTATATTTCCGCTTCTGCTCTCCTCGCTCCTTGCTACAGTCCGCTGCAGTAACAGATGAAGCCCCGGGTTCTTCCTCATGACTCGTGGCCCCTTCGTGCCTTGCATGCTTTCGGCATTCAGCCTCTGATGTCCCATCCCACGTCTCTCTGTCAGGATCTTTGTCACAGCTTGTTGTGTTTGGTCTATGTGCAGGTGGAACTACCATCCAATAGACAGGCATGAGTTTCCTCTCCTGCCCAGACGCATGGATTTTTCTGTTAAAATAAACAAACAACAGAGCACAACTTCAATAAGTTTAATTGTTTAAATTCAGGCATGTTTGCCTCTGAGGAAGGGTCGCTTCCTTTTAATTGTTCTTCACACCATTTAGGAAACTAACAGCACATTTGAAGAGCTGAACAGCAGGGAAATTTTGTGTAGGCTTGGACCAGATAATTAAAGAAAATTAAAATGTCTCAGTTCATTGGGGATGGAGCCTCTCAAGTATACATATTTGTCATCTGACTAGTAACACAGGGTGGGGTGTACATTTTCCTCCAAGGCCATGCTGGACAGGCTAAGAAATTATAGACTTAAAAAAAAGGAAATACAGACTTGTCCTAGGTTACAGTGTATAATGTGCCCAAAAAAGTATTCTATTACCATCTTCAGGAGCTGTTGAGACCAGGTGGGGCGGTGCTCCCTGCCTCCCCCCTCTGGACTATCTCCTGTTAATGGCCCATCAAGGAACTGCCTCATGACTCCCCATCCCATTGTGAGATGCTCCGCCCGGGGGAGAAGGAGCCAAGCAGTCCATGCCAAATAAAAACGGAGATCTCAAACACCCTAGCAGCCTTCTTCCACTGGATTCCCAGAGGAGTTTTTACCCCCACTGGAGTTCCAGAGGACAAGAGCTACCTACCTACCACTGGACCTTCGGAGGAAGACCAGACCCTTTTACAAGATCGCTGCTTCAACAGAACTACATCCATCACTTCAGGAGGACTGCGGCCATCATCTTATCGGACTGCTACTGCCACCCTAACAGGGTGTCAGGTTGTATTTCTGACTCTGTCAGGGTAAACCAGTGGGTTGTTTTTTTTTCCTGCCTTGTGTTATATATGTAAAGAACTATTATTCCTATTCCCCATATCTTTGCCTGAAGGACCCTTAATTTCAAAATTATAATAATGTGGAGGGAAGGGGGTTGCATTTTCCATTTCAAGGGAGGCTCCTGTCTTCCTCAGCAGACACCTGTCTTTCAAACCAAGACAAGATTAAATGCCTATATGGAAAACCAAAACAGACCCCCTTGTAAGCCACCAATGGCAGCGGTTAACTCTACTTATCACTACTCGGTGCATGGAACAAGCTGTGTGTTGCAAGTGCAATGACATCTGGAATGTTTTTTCTGCTACTAGACTGAACTACAAACAGATTGTGACATTGTTTAAAAGGGAAGCTGGGATCCAGTAGAAAACCACTCCTGTACCACAGAGACAGGGTACAGAGGTGTTTGACATGTACAGTGGCTTTCGCAGTTCTGGAAACTACTGTGCAATGTCAACACCTTCTTTTGAGGCAGGCAGCACTTCATAAGCCTATCTGGAAGCTCATGCTACCCAGCAGACCAGCACGCAGGACACTTGGCCCAAGAAAGCCATACTAAAAAGCACCACACTGCCCTGACGTTTATAAAATGAGCATTTTCTTGTGCCTTTTAAAGAGATACCGATTCTTTTGGGGCTCCTATTTAAAAACCCAAATCTGAGGCTTCCAAAATCATTTAAAAGATCCAATTGCACAAGTCCCCTTTGATTCAACGTTCGCCTAAACTCCCAGTCTGGGAGACCTCAATCCAGTAATCTGGGCTGAGAGCTTGATGAGGTCAACAGAAAAAAATCTGTGTTGATTTCAACACCCTTCTGATCAGATCCAAGGAATTCTTTAACTAAAGCAGTGAGGACTTCAGGAAGGCTTTTATCCTGGTGCCCAGAGAGAAAACATGTTTTCCTGCGTGCACATGGACAGGGACATAGACAGAGAATGCTGTACCTTACATGAGTATTGTAAGCAGACCTCTGAGCAAAGCTGGCGGGGCAGCGTTCACATTTATACGGTTTCTCCCCGGTGTGTGTTCGTATGTGGACCGTCAGGCCGCACTTGGAACTGATGACCTTGTCACAGTAGGGGCAGGCCTGGGGATCCCGCTTCTTCTCATGCACCCTGCGGATATGGTCATTCGTGTCTTTCTGCCGCTTAAACCTCTTGTCGCAAAAAATGCAAGAGAATCCCCGCTCATCACCATGAACGGCGAGGCGGTGCTGCCGGAGGTGCTGGTGAGTGGAGAAGAGCTGCTCACACACATTACAGCTGTACTTGACCGCCAGATTAACATCATGCTTGAGCTCCATGTGTGACCGGTACTGCTTGATAACATGGAACGACTCGTTGCACTTCTCGCACGCAAGCTGCGGCAAGACTTTTGCCACATGCTGCGGTGATTTCCTACGTTCTGTTTTTCTGGCTAATTTGGAAATTAAACTGTTTTCATCTTCCCACTGCTCAGGCAGAGTGTTCCTAATTACTATGCAGGCTTCCTTTGATTCAGCCTGGCTTAGGAGTGAACAACCACTCTCATTTTCCAGACTAATGATATCGACACCAAGTCTGTTTCTGCTATCTGTCTTGTTACATTTTAGGAGCTTTGCTGTCCTGGATTTTGGTTCTGGAAAAGTAGTGCTCTTTTGCTCCAGGCTTGCAGGCTGGCCTTCAATGAGTTCGTAGCCAGCCAGCAACTTGTTATGTTTTTGCCTCTCCCAAAGTTTCCTCTGCATGGGTATTGCCACAACTTGGGAAGAGTTACTCAGTTTGCGGTTCTCCTCCTGCTGGATGCGAGTCCACTGTGGCCCACCGTTTTCACACAGCTGACCTTTCAGATGGAGGCTCAAATCTAAACCCTTCCTGCCCTCTGCTTTCACTTCTTCACAAATGTCAAGCAAATCCTTGCATTCAAGCCTTTCAGCTATTTCTTTCATCCGTTGCAGTTTTTCCGCTTCAATCTCCACTTCTGCAGTGTAAACAAACTCCAGGAAGGAGGTGAACTCTTCTGTGTAAATATCTTGCAGAGTCACTGTGCAATTCTTGGTGTCCAGCATCTCATCATGCAGGAAAAGCCCCTTGAAATAGTTGCTGGAAGCTGCCAAGACAGCTTTGTGAACCAGAAACTCCTCCTGAATTCCTAGATGCTGGGTGTGAACTGTCACATCACAGAGGTGACCGAACTGGTACAGAGAATGCAGTGCCCTCAGGAGGTTAGGAGCAGCGACCTTGGATTTCATCAGAATCTTCTTTTTCTCCATCCTGCCAGAAAAAAAGACAAATGTTTGAGTGCTTGCTCTCCCTCTTCCGTGGGCTATCTTTTCATTCATATAAGACATCAACCACTTAAGAAAAAGCTCAGTGGAGATCCATGTCCTAATTTCTAATCTACACGATGTGGTAAAGACCTCAAGGTCACTTCTATCAATGCAGCCGCCATCAGCAAACACACTTAGTTTACTGCAGTCACGGATTTAGATTTACACTCTGGGATAACCCTTCAGAGTGGATATTCTGTAGCACAGATGCTAACAGTAACAAATACTAGTAACATGATTGGTCCAGCTTAATAATAAAACATTCTTCATACAAGTGCTTTTCAACAGCAGATGTCACACCTGTTTACAGTGGAAACAAGGATCTTTCCCCATCCCTCTCATACTGAGGGGGAACTGAAGCATAGCAAGTCACTTCCAATTGTTGTCAAGCTGGTGTTGAAACAGAGCTTGTGTTTTCACAGTCACTCCAGGCTCCACTCACCGTGCCAGGCATCCCCTGGTGCCAAAGCAGGGGGATAAATCTTTGGATCTGGTTCAATTTTGTTTCTGTACCCCCCGCCCCCCCGTAAACAATCAGACCTAGGAGTTAATCATTACAGTTAGTAAGCTTCTATTGTATTTGGACACAAATAATATAGAGCAACAAACTACATATCTAGAAATAGCTATAAATTATTTAAGGAGGTAATAAGTGTTTTATCTGAAAAATAATTCAAAACTGCTCCTTCTCAATCAACAAACAGAGGGGTCAGAAGTTTTTTGCCATTTTCAGAAAGAACAATCTGCATTTCCCCACTGGCTCTAGAGACAGACAATAGCTATTGTGCAGTAAAATCCGATGCCAGAGAACTCTGTGGCTTTCCTGTCTCCACCCACGTAGGACACCCGTACTGCTGTCAACGTTACTGAGGCCTTCAGATGCTCTGATCTGATCCTCTAAGCTGATATTCCCGATCTAGCATAGTTTTTAAACGTCTGCTGTTTAGCACATGCTTACAACAGCTTTGTAACCCAGGGAAGAACATTAGGCCAAAACAAACAGACGAATCAGCCTGTTCTTGCTTAAAGGCTCCATTCAAGCTTGGCTTGCCCTGCTTCCCTGTCGCAGCAATAACGGCTGGCAGAAAATGACACTGAACCATACTTTCACTTCTCATCTAAATTATTATGTTTGACATTATATTAAATACATTCTTGGCAGATATTAAACTGATTAAGAAGACAAATGTGTCTTCAACATAAAACACCAGGAAGTTGGATACAATACATAGCCTACACTGAAGAGGTTTGAATAGCAAGCTTAAGAGATAGCTTTGAGAATGCTCTTCCTATTACAAGCTACTGCAGCAAGCACTGCAGAGGATAATCATCTGCTAATCTGCGAGGCGTAAATCATTCAGTGCTTGTGACGTACCTAATCATGTTTTGAGGATCGCATTTAAAGGTTTAAACTGATTTTCTAATGACCCCATTAAGTGCCACTGGAATATGTACTGCCACCTTTGTAGGAAACAGACAAGATTCATACTAGATATAAAGCATCTGTAAATTCGAATCATGCAGAACCTCAAACATTTGTACTTAATTGGGGGTTTGATGCGAGTACTCTATGAGCTCCTGCGAGAAGACCCACCCCAATCAACGGGACTGCTTGGGGTCTCAGCATTCTCACCCAGCTGGTGCAGAACCTTCTCTCTCCTGCACCCCTCACTGCTAACAAGTTCAATGACGTTTACTCAGAGAAAACAAAAATATTACTACAGGAAAAATACTTAGGAAAAATAACTAGAAGAAAAAGACAAACAAAGCACATGTTGAAACATCAAGGGGGATGTGCAAAATAGCATTGTCTAAACTCTTATCACAAAAGGGACTGCTCACATCCAGACTCAAAATGTACAATAGTTATCACAGTCTCTGCCTTATGAATTCTGGCCAGCAGGCATCTTTGAAATGCCCCCAATTCAACATCTGCCAACTATTCCCTACCAACGATCACCACCTATGTGGAGACATAACCCTAGCAGCTCCTACGGCACACGTGCAGGCTGCAGGAAGTAGTGTCGGTCCAGAGGTTAATACCTATATTCAGTCCACAAATTCACAAAAGCTTCTACTTAATTTGTCCCCTGGCTTGCCCTTCTTAATGTTTTCCAACAGGATATCCTTCTTCATTTCTGTGCAGAAATGACCCCAGTGTGGCGGAGCCCACCGATCAGTAGCGCTTAAAGAAATCAATGAGCAGAGCACGTGCTAATTTCCTCCTGCTCCTTTTTAAGATCCCCATCTGCGATAAATTCTCGATACGTGCTCCCATGTGAGCTCTACTAATATCTGATACTAAGCCAAATGGAGAGGTATGTTCCAACATCATCATCTCTTTAGTTCAGCTGGTTCTAGATTAAATCAGCCCAGAAACGGTTTACTGAAATGTCTTTCTGATGAAAAATGCTACAACTTAATCAACTCCCTCCATTTTTTTTTCTTCAGAAAAAGAGACTGCACTTTTTGTTACCATTTAGAGAGGAAATTGATCTCTAGTTTTCTGAAGTGGTGTTATATACAGTTTGTTTTCATGTTTTACAGTTTCATGAGGTTGAGAGTAGAACACAACGTTTCAGAGTATAAAACAGTACGTAAGGTTACTTGCCCCCCCCCAAAATTGAGGTAACAGAAGACTTCCAAGTATCTTGCTTTCATGTTGGGGTAAGGAAGCAACTTCTTATCTCCAATGGATTAGAAAAGCTATTTTCTCCTTATTCTTTACATTTCATTAACAAGGACAAGAGAAGATTCTTGAGGAACTCCCATCCACAGCAACGGGAATGAGGATGACAAATGTTACAGTAAATCATCCTGCTATTGAATCAGAGAAGGACATATTTTGTTCTAATTGCAGGTTAATGTTGTAATGAAATAACCACCAGTAATCAAATAGGAAAAATAATGGTAACATCATTAATATGTTTAATTCTATCCCTCATTTATGAACACAAGGCACCCTGGTCTTCATAATCCTAACTTTCACTCCCAACCGCATCCGTATCCCAGGGCTGCACCTTATCTCCTTCGCTTTCCAGCGCTCTAGCCAGCCCAAATCCCAAAACCATCGGCACTTCTCTCTCCTCCTCTACTTCAAAGACACCACCCTAACCCGGCAGAACGAGCTCCCGAGCGGTGAGGCAGGACGGTCATGAAGGCAGAAAAAGCACAATGCAGGCGCAGGAGCGCACTCAGCCGCTCCACAACCCTGCTGCTACTTTCTCACACCCTCGGAAACTCTCTCAGAGCTGCTCTTGGGAGGCAGCAGGGTTCACACCTCACTGGAGGAGAGAGAGGATGGATCAGGCGTGTCATCGTGTGTCATCGTGAACTCGTTACCACTTACGAAACTAGGAAGCAAAAGGGAGCTGGTTAGAGGTTAACAGCCCTAATAAACATCACCCTGCTGTACCCTGAAGCTGCCTCTGAAAGCAGCCAGCTGGTAGTCTCCAGGACACAGACTTCAACGGGAACTTTTTTCCACATATTGCATTTTATGGGTTGTTTGTAACTTTTTCCAGCTTTTTGCCTCATAATAAGGGAATAAATACCTTAAAGAAGTTGCATGTATGCAACATTTATGGAAAACATAATTAATCTAACAGAACCACTGCAAAAGCTAAAATGTATTTCAATTCAATTACAGTTCCCAATAAGGCCACGGGAACAAGTACAACTGTTTTACAATATAAAGCCTATGGTGCCTTCCAATCTTCAAGAAGAGATTTATGTTTGCTCTGTGCTATAGCACTTTTTTTTTTTTTTTTTACAGTGCAAAGACAGTCAATAGCAGCTCTCTAATTCAGGACAATTAACACAGTAAACGAACACATTTGCACGAAGGACAGTAAACATTTTCTAAAACATCCTTGCTCCTTGGACTTTCACTGTTCACGCCTACTTTGCAATTTCTACAGGCCAGAGCCTTAACTGGTGTGATACAATACAGCCCTTTTGAAGGGAAGACAGTGAAGGTACACCGATACATACACCCAAGCATCTAGGGGATAAAAACCCAATATGTCAAATAAATTTAATCGCATAATTCTCAAAATTGTGTTATTTCACATAAACATGCCCTGCTTTTTGCAAAGTATACATAAACATTGATCACTTGATTTTCTCCAAGCCTTTTCAGTTAAATCTTAAGTTTCTTTTCAGTTAAATCTTAAGTTTCTTTTCAGAGAAACAAACAGGAAATTATTCCTCAACTTATTTTGCCAGGGAGGGTTCCTTTGAACTCTCAACAGCTCCACATACATGTACAAAGGGCCCAGACAACGAGTTCTCAAAATGAGAACACTTGAAATATCAATGGTGTCAGGGGGAGGACAAAAAAAAAAAAAAAAAAAAGTCCTGTTATGCTCTTATTTGATCATCTTTATCCTCTGCAGAAACTGACTAAAAATCTCTCTTTGAAGTGCTGGTATGGCCTAACAGTGCGTAATTGCTGCTCTTGGAACTACCACTGGAAAAATAAGCCTGACATGGGTAGATCATAACAGCAGTGCAACACCCCAGATGCTGACAGATAAAATGAACCGTTTAGATTAAACAACTACAATACTTTAGGCAGAATATTTAAGAGCACACAAACCACTCTGAGGGCAGCAAGAATCATTGTCACAGCCACATAAGGCCTAGCTTCAGTCCTCAAACGAGCCATACCTGTGGTACTTTTTCTGATTTTTGCCTTTTTTTTTATTTTCCTGTAGAATCAGGTAATGTTTACCTGTCTTAAAGATGGACTGTGACAACAAAAATACATTAATAGCAGTCAGATTATAACCTAATATAGGTGAAAAAGAGCATTATGAGGACACAAATAGCAGCTGCAGTTACTCAAGTGCGCTAATCATCTAGAAAATTAAGCTTATTCACATAGATTCCCACACGATGCAGATACACAAAGTTAGGCAGGTCAGGATACCCAGCAAACAGTAACAACTGCCCCTCTCCTGCCACAGTTTCTGGCCTGTTTGAGCACCGCTGAGTAAGTCG